AATTATGGCAAATGATGAAAAACAAAAGGTTTTGTCCCGACAGCAGTGGAATGAAAGACCGGTGAGAACCTGTGAGAGCCAAGCTGAACTGAATGGAAGGATAAAAATACAAATGCAGTATATTTTCTTATAATTGTACACAGCTAAACAAGCAAGTAATCTTTTCCCTGCTGCCGTGTGCCATGTTTTCTCTAAAGCACGATTGTTCATGTGAAATTCCGCGAGATCTCAGACTCTCAGATGGGGTTGTTGGTTGGGATTATGGTTCACCAGTATAATCTGAAGTTGTGTATTGTTTTTCTTGGGCAGCTCCTGTAGCACTGGGGACTTTGATGACTATAGGCCAAAAAAATCAATGGAATCTGTCATCAATGTGGGGGTTCCTCACTATTTTCAACACCGGTTAGGATTGTAAAAGTCCTGTAATGTGGGCCAGCCATCAGTAGAAGATCGCCAAAGGAATCTAAATGTAATTACGAACCTAACTAGGCAATTCATTATGTAATTATGCAGTTATATATAAACAATTCTGTAAAATAATTCAATTTCTCTAAAGGTTTGTTTTTGTTTTTAAATTTTTTTGGCATGGATCTGGCTCATATTTTTAAACTGTGTTGTGTTGCTGGGGTATAGGGTTTGCCACTCACTGCCACAGCCCATGCAAATGCCGCCTGTTTCTCTTTGAAGTGCTGAGACATTTGGAAGCAATGAAGGAGACTCTATTAGTGTCACTAAGGTAAATGGGTGAAAACTGTGAGGAGGTGAGGGAGGGAGGTGGGGGATGTTTGAAGCCAGGGTGGTGGTGGGGGTTGTAGTGGAGTTTTTTTTTCTTTTTCCCCCATTGCGAGGCTTGTAGTGTGGGTACAGATTTTCGGCGCCCCTCCCCACCTCCCTTTTTCCCAATCTGTCCAGGGTCGAACTCACTGTTATCAAAACATCATCCATTACGGAGTTGACAGCCTCACAGGAGGACCCAGGGGCCCTACGAAAAGCCATGGGGAATTTCCGTCACCGTGCAAGGCAAAAAAGGGGGGATGAAGGAAAAGAAAAATGAAGGAGAGAATGAAAGAGAGGAGAGGTGATCCATCAAGACCACTCGTTTTTTTCCCCTCTTTGAGGTGGTAAGGCGAGACTGGTGGAGTAAAGAGAGACAGAGAGGGCAAGGGACTGTCAGAAAAGGCCTGGCTTAGAGGAGCTGATGAACAGGTCACCGAAACCACACATGTAAACCTACTTACAGAAGCTGCTAATGTAATCCAACTTTCCGAAGATACTGAAGTAGTCAGACATACCTAAACTACTGAAGCACTAACGTAATCTTACTTACCAAAACTACCAAAGTAAACCAATTTACAGAAGTTCCAAATGTAATCCAATTTATCAAAGCTACTAAAGCAATCCAACTAACTGAAGTAACTAAAATAATGCAACTAACTAAAACTACTAAAGTAATCTATCTAATCAAAGCTACTAAAGTAATCCAACTTTTTGATGCTACTAAAGTGATCCAACTAACTGAAGGTACTACTGTAATCCAACTTTCTGACGATACTGTCATAATCCAACTTTCTGAAGGTACTACTGTAATCCAACTTTCTGAAGATACTGTCGTAATCCAACTTTCTGAAGCTACTACGATCCACTTTCTAAAGATACTGCGTACCACTTTCTGAAGCTACTACTGTAATCCAACTTTCTAAAGATACTGTCGTAATCCAACTTTCTGAAGGTACTACTGTAATCCAACTTTCTGAAGATACTGTCGTAATCCAACTTTCTGAAGGTACTACTGTAATCCAACTTTCCGAAGATACTGTCGTAATCCAACTTTCTGAAGCTACTACTGTAATCCAACTTTCTGAAGATACTGTCATAATCCAACTTTCTGAAGCTACTACTGTAATCCAACTTTCTGAAGATACTACTGTAATCCAACTTTCTGAATATACTACTGTAATCCAACTTTCTGAATATACTACTGTAATCCAACTTTCTGAAGCTACTCTTGTTATCCAGTTTACTAAAGATAATATTGTAATCCAATTTTTCGAAGCTACTACTGTAATCCATCTTTCTGAAATTACTATCATAATCCAACTTTCTGAAGTTACTATCATAATCCAACTTTCTGACGCTACCATCATAATCCAACTTTCTGATGCTACTACTGTAATCCAATTTTCTCAAGATACTAAAGAAAATATTAACACTATTAAAGTAATCCAATTTACTAAAACTACCAATCTAGCAGAATGAAGGTACAAGGTAAACTCATTCTTGTTTACATTACATTTATAGTTCTGACTGTGAAACTTCACACCTTTTAAATTCAAGTTTCCAAATATATTATTTATACTCCACTGTGACCCAAAATACTAGACATTCATTGTTACTTCACTGCTTACAAATACGTAATGCTTCCAAATGAACATTATTTAATGTAATTCAGAAGGAACTCGCTGTTAGCTCTATAATTCTGAAATTTGGAAGATATGTTTCCTACACTATCCACCAGTGCTTTAGAGGATTCACTAAACAGACTAAGTTTCCATTTCATTTCTTCTAATTCTTTAAAAATCTGTTGCTAAAATTCCTCTGACATTCCAGACAGAATGCCTGTTTTTTGAGATTATATGTTTTTAAGGGTTCTTTTTCACTGTTTTACACATTAATTATGTATGTAAGAATGTAAAACATTGTCTGAGTGTCTCCATACATCAATGTGCACAAAAACACAGCTCCTGGAAGAGCTTAGTGTGTTTTAGGGGCGTTTTAAGTATCGTTCCCTCAAAATTACCGATAATTAGGGCACTAACAGTTTTATTACCCCCGAAAACAGGATAATCGCCCACCCCCCCAAACCCACACAGAGGCCCACCTCCTTAACACCCAGGGAGCAAACTCGTCTCGTTCAGCTATAAACCACTAAACCTCACCCACCATTTGCTACCAGCGCAATAGCAGCAGGTGTTGGCTTGTGGCTGAGTTGTCAACACAGCTGATCTGGAGTCAGATTTCACACTGGCCTGTCTGTACCTCCAGCTCCAGCTGTGGTTTAGGAGCAGATCCAGGATCAGTTGGAAGCTCTTAATCACATGTTCAGATTTCCCCCGAGCTGAGGCCCAGTGGTCGCTAGAGGCGTTGCCCTTAGTTACGGGATTGTAATTCGTAATGAGTTTGTGGCTTGGCATAAAAACTGGAGTGTAAAAATACTCAAATTTGCACCAAGGTTTCCTGTCTGTTGTCCTGTTTTCTTTTTTTTCAGACACATTATCACTGTGCACCTGTTTTTCAATGGGTGTCCCTGTCACACTAGATATAGAACTACATACCATAAACACTGTTCACACAGCAGATACAGATTCATTGGTCATATAGATCAGAAAAGACTGCAATGTTTGTGTGCATGCAATTAAAAAACACCCACAGATTCACAAAAAAGACAAGATTTTTAGAAGTTTCTTGGGACGTGTAAACAAATTTGGGAAAACCTTCTTCTCACATATAGCAATGATACAGTGTGAAACAAGTAGGAAAGAGCAAGGCACAATGTAGGGCTGGGTAAAGTGTAACATGGATGTTTATTCAGCTACACTGGTTCAAGTAGAATGTGATTTTGCTTATCTTTCTGTGTTCCCATAGCAACGTCTTCTGCCAATTTTGACACCAGTCAGACAGATTCATCCTTTATATGTACCATAAAACTTTTCTCATCATAAGTGTTTACCAGTTACTCACTTATGTGTGTTAAATTCAGCAAATTATCAGTAATAGTTCATTAAAATGGACAGACATGTATTCTGTGTAGAGGACGTGCAGCTATTTTATACTTAGAAAATGAAAAAAAACATGTAATTTGACCAACGTTTGCATGTAACTGTATGTTATATTAATCCCCTTTTTGGTGGCCGTCATATAGCATGTCAATAACACTGTATTTTGAAGCATGTAAATGACTCATAGTGAGAGCTAGCCAGGCACAAGTACGGCCTCCAAATGGTGGGGGGTTGGGTTGCAGTGGTAGAACCAAACCTGTCCAAATAAACAATGAGAGAAGCCCATGGCCCCTTATTAATTCAAAACATTTATCGCTGTTGTCGGAAGAAAACCACGTATCGCCAAAATGGTAACTTTACAGGAGAAGGAAAAAACCTACTTTACTTTTAATGTAAGTCAATGGAACCAGAATTTTTTCCAAGTCAATTTAGGTCATTACTTTTAGTCTGTTCATCACGAAATTTACACACAATGTAAAGAGTAACATTTCAATCATGTCAAAAACTGAAAAATGACAAAATGGAGATACAAGGTTTTGTTCAGACAACAGCGATATATTTTTTGAAAGTATTTTTATAAGCCAAAATGTGTTAGGTTGTGTATCCTCTACCAGGATATTCTTTTAAAAAGTGCATATATGCATACATATATATATATATATATATATATATATATATATATATATATATATATATATATGTATAGTTTCCTGTTTCCTGAACTGCACATTCCTCCTTTGCTTAATAGCTGACTGTGATACAGTTGTATGCAAAAGTTTAAAGACTCCTGGTCAAATGACATGTTTTGTTGGTGTTCTAAGTGAAAACAAGTTAACACTTTCCTCTACAGAGACACACAAATATGGGACATTTCTACAAATTTTAGCGCACAATTTAAGTTTATTTGCTTAGTTTAACATAGTGGAATAAATAAAACGTGTGCTGTAACTTTTGCATTGGTAACATTTTATGTTTTATTTTTCCCCATATGTCAAACACCTGTCATTTAACCAGGGGATGTGCTAACTTTTGCTTGTGACTGTATATACTATATCATTTCTATATAATCTAAATAATATGTATATTTGTATATGTTGTTTTGAATTCATGAATTGTTCTGAATAAATGACCTGTCTATTAAACAGAACTATTAATTAATGTAAACAAAACTGTATTTGGGATTTTCTGTATAAACGCTTCTTTTTCTCTGTTGTTGTTTTTTAGCACCCGTACCCGTCTGAGGAACAGAAGAAGCAGCTAGCTCAGGACACCGGACTGACCATCCTGCAGGTCAACAACTGGTGAGTGCTCCAGTGTGTTTACATTCAGTTTCTCAGGCATGAAGACAAACTGCACTGGAATCCAACTTACTGAGGTTACGAATCCACCTTCAGTCCTCAGGCAGGAATTTGTAAAGACATTTTTGTTGGCACTGAATGCGCAGCTTACTCTGATTGATTACGACGGGAGACATATTTTATATACAGTACTTCATTCTCTGAATTGTTCTGCCACACTGCGAACCAGAGTATTAGATGTTCACTGTTACTTCAACGGTAAAATGAACTTCTGCTGTTTTTCATTAGAGCCTCCCGACGTGAGTTTAACGATGTGAACTGTGCTGCCTGCTTTTGTCCCATAGAGTTTTCAGTTGAAGTGAAAAACTTTTGTCATAACAAAAATGCATTTTTTTGGTCAAAAAAATATCTCACTAAGATGCCCAGATGGAAACAGTTTTGAGATAAATGTACTGCACAAGAAGGAGGGCCTTCTGGAAGAAACAGGGAAACTGGTTTTAACTACACTCCTAAAAAAGATGGTTCTTCAAGGGTTCTTTGGTAAAGAAGTTGGTTCTATATAGAGTCATGAACACTCAAAGACTCGTTGCATGATTAAATGGTTCTTTGCATCATGAAATGGTTCTTCAGATTGATGGAGAATGTGCTGTACGTGGTTCTATAAAGAACATTTTTGAATAGGGTTCTATATAGAAAAAGGGTTCTTCTAGTTACAAGCTTGACAACCCTTTTTAAAAAGGTTCTGTATAGAACTATGTCTATATAGACATTATGCCTGAAGCATGCACTTAAAATAGATGGCTCTTCATGGGTTCTTCAGTAAAGAGTTCTATATGGAACAATTTCCTGCTAAAATGGTTCTTTGCATGGTGAAATGGTTCTTCAGACTGATGGAGAATGTGTTGTATACTGTAGCATAAAGGGTTCTATATGGTACCAAAAAAGGGTTCTTTGGCTTGTAACAATAGCAGAACCCCTTTTTATGCTAAATAGAGCCCTTTTCAAAAAGGTTCTAAATAGAACCACCTACAGCACATTCTCCATCAATCAGAAAAACCATTTCATGATGTAAAGAACGCTTTAATCGTGTAATGGGTTCTTTGAGTGTTCATGCTTCTATATAGAACCATTTCTTTTGCTAAAGAACCCTTAAAGAGCCATCTTTCTAAGAGTGTATATATTTCTATATATAGAACGTTTTTGAAAATGGCTCTGTATAGCATGATAAGCTTGCCATTGTAACAACAGCAGAACCCTTTTTGGTGCTATATAGAACCATTTTCAAAATAGGTTCTATGTAGGACTATACACAACACATTCTCCATCAATATGGAGAACCATTTCACTATGCAAAGAACTATTTAAGCATGAAATTGTTCTATGTAGAACTCATGGCTCTAAATATAACCATTTTTTTTTTACTAAAGAACCCTTGAAGAACCATCTACAGCACATTATCTATCAGAAGAAGAACCATTTCCTGATGCAAAGAACCCTTTAATCATGCAAGTTCTTTGAGTGTTCGTGGTTCTATATAGAACCATTTTCTTTACTAAAAAAACATTAAAGAACCATCTTTTTTACTTTGATAATATCAAAATATATAACTATATATCATATCACTCCCTGTTCTGCTTTAGAATGAGTCACATTTATAATGTCCTTTAGGAAAATGAGGTGGTGAGTAGTTAGTTAGTTATTAATAAGACAACTCGATGAAAAATGTTAAAGGAGAATTTCACAGATTTTTCAAAACTTCTGCAAAATTTAGTTAGTCGTGAACAAAGTCATTCAGAGTGGTTTGACGTTACATTGTGGAGAAACTTACGGACTCAGATTTCTTTACAGTGGTGCTGATGGGAACCAGGGGTCTCAATGTTTACAACACAAAAATAGCCATTTTATTTACTATATAAAACCACCAGTGAACCTACACATGAGTTTTATATGTAATGTTGATGATGGCAAAATGGTGCTAAATGTAAGAAAGCCTTCTCTGGGCACTATTCACATTTACAATGTCCTGCAAGTAGTTTAAAAATAAGTTTTAGGCCAAAATCTTGTCACTTTAGACAGTGTATTTGTAACTATTTTGAGCTAACTTTTACACGGTATTAAATTATACCTCCTACATAATTTAATGGTTAAAACAAAGTCATTCAGATTGGTTTGGTGTGAAATGCTCTGTTCTAGAGAACTATACTGAGACAGAGTTATTCACAGTGGTGGTGATAGGAACCAGACATCTGAAGAGTTGAATGCATCTAAAAACTACCACATGAAATGACCATGAATATACTGCCTTGAACGTTACAGCAATTTTGAGAAGGTTTCGGAACGATTTGCAGGGTGTTGGGAGGCAAAATAGTCCTCAGAAAAACCTTATTATTTCAACTTTACCACATTTCACCATCATCAACATTACATGGTGGTTTTAGATAATAAATAAAATGGCTATATCTGTGTTGTAGACATTGTGACTTCTGGTTCCTATCACCACCACTGTAAAGAAATCTGATTCAGTCAGTTTATCTACAACAGAGCATTTCACCCCAAACCATTCTGAATAATGGTGTTTACATCCCAAAGAATGAATTATATATAAAGTTGGAAAAATCGATTAAAATGCTCTTTAAGCACTTTGGACGTCTGGTTCCGATGACCACTGTTGTGAACAATTCTGCCTAAGCTTATCTAGAATGGAGCAGTTCACATCAAACCACTCTGAATGACGCTGTGGAAAAGTAGTGAATGGAGTTATTTATAATCGTCTCTTTTAATGAACAGGCGAGGTTTAGTTTTGGACGCAGTTACACTGGAAATGACGGACTTTCCATTGAAAATCTGCAGTCTAGAACCAGGCTTAATCTCTGACTTAGACTTTAAGAACATCAAGAAGGTTTTAGATGTCTTGAACTGGACCCTAAGAGTTTCATTTGCATAGTAAACCGTTTACTCCCTGTTCTATGAAAGAATAAGTCATACATGTATATATTTAATGCTTTGATCCAGCTCCATCTATTAATTTAATAGAAAGCCACTGTTGTACCGGATCACCATTATTACACGTTGCTTCCCCGTTCCATTCCCGTGCACTGGAACATTCCCAGATCATTCTAGAATGCTTTGTTGCGTGGCAACAGTGTGTTCCACTCTCAGAACAGGTGAGGGGGTGTGGGGAGTAGTGCAAACGAGCACTTGTCACATTAAACAAAATTTTCATGGTGAACAGCTGGACTGGTTTATTTAAACCCACCCACATACGATGGATGACCGCTGAGTAACCCCACATTACGGTGCAGCCAGACGCACATTTTATGGTTCAACCTGACCAAGTGAATTCATATAAATTCATTCCTATATATATATATATATATATATCTATATATCTATATATATATATATGAAAGTCCTGGATTTAACATTTGGGAGTGGAGAGTTATTACTTTTATTTTGCTGTAAGTCAAACGGACTCATGTACAGGACTGCGCAAAAGTTATTTAATTTCCAGTCAAAATGGCCATTTCAGTTTTCATTAGATGTTTCTAAGTAGATTAGATAATAATCCACTTGCATAAAGGAAGAAGAAAGTCAAAGGAAAATAAGCAATTTCCAAAACTGGAGTTCAAAAAAATGATTCAAAGTTCTAAAGAATAATGAGGCTCCTAACAACCACCTGGAGGACCTGGCAGACACCAAAACTGTCCCCATCAGATAAACAGCACTTAAAGCTTTCATCTTTGAGAGAGAGGAGAAAATCAAGCTCCACTCTGGATTCAGATCTGAAAACATCCACAGGAGTTTCTGTCCATCCTTCCACTGTGAGACACTCAGCACTATGAGTCTGAAAGGATGTGTAGCTGTTAAGAAGCTCTTACTGAGAAAAGGAGACACATCAAACAAAGAAGCTGCCGGTGTTTCTCAGAACAATGGACTGACCACCCCAGAGTCCAGACCCCTACATCAGTGAATGTGTTTGGGATTATTTGGATCAAGAAAAGCAGAAAATGTTAAACCAACTTCTAAGACTGAACTTTGGAGGTGTGAAAAACATCCCTGCAGGTTTCTCTGAAACATTGAAAGTGAGTCTCCTGAAAAGAATAGAAGCTGTAATAACAGTAAAGACACAATACTGAAAATTGATATATTTAGTTGAGGCTTCTGTGATGCTGAAAAGCGTATATCTTGTAATGGCCATTTTGACTGGAAATCAAACAGATGATAAAATAACGCAATAATTAAAAGCATTAAAAGAGTTTATGAAGTTATTTATATAATCACAGTAATGATTTAATTAGACAAAATCTCATTCATGTTTATATTTTATTGTGATTTGTCTTTTATCATGGCGCAATAAAATGAAATGGAATCATTAAGACAGACTGACAGAAGCCGATCAGTTTCATTGTTATATAGTTTGTGTTGTACTTTGATTAATGACACAAAAAAAACCTCAAAATGATTTCACAAATTGATGCTAGATTCGTGGGGTGGGGGGCATCTAAACTTAGGGAGCATCTTGTCTTGATAAGAGAATTAGATGCTGTTCAAGTTTATTTTCCCTGACTATATTGAGGCTTATATGTCACCATCCTGTACGAGCTAAACTCATGCACAGATCTGCTTAGCTTTACAGTAAATGGACACTTATTTAGCCTCATTTTCCCCTAAAATAAAGTTACATAATGCTTTTACTGGAGATACAGTGACTTCTAAGAGTGAACTGTATGTCATGCTGTTTGATCTCCAATCATCACACTTGTGTGAGCAGACTGAAGGACTAATCTGTGCTTCTGTGTTGTTTCATGTTTGAGAGTGGGCCTCAAATAACTGTAGCACACGTCCCACCCTTGTACGTTTATGGTACGTGTTTGGCATGTGTGTGTGTGTGTGTGTGTGTGTGTGTGTGCATGTGTTCGGGGTGAGAAGGCAGGGCCTGCAGCTCGTAAACTCAGCCTCATGGTGTGAAGTAAGGGGTCAGCCAGGGGTCAAATTTTACCCCCTAAAAGAGGAGGCAGTCTTTTCACCGTATGGGCTTCTGTTCTTGTCTCTGATTGGCCACTGGACAGGCAGCTCAGAGGGGAGTGCTCAGCAGACAGAATGGATCAGGCCTCATTGTAAGAATGCTGATCTAGGGTCTGTTTTTTAATAGTCAAATAGCTGTAAACTGTAAATTGGTCCATTCATTATGAAATGCTTGCACAATGTAAAGAGCAGCGGATAGTTTGTGTAAAATGCTGTGTAAAAACAAATCAAAACCTATAAAAGTTACAGTATTCTGATATGATGGCAATGAAAACCAGTTATATGAAAAGGGATACTCAGTCCTTGATCGGTCCTCATACTGAGATTAAGAGTGTCTTATCTATTTATTTTAACATGCTCAGAGTTTTGCAATCATTGCAATTTCAATTGCCATCTAAAAAACTCGAAACTTCTGTTTTCTCTCATTTTTTAAGCCAACTGAAAATGCTAGATGCTGTTTACATTGTCTGAACTTGATGAACGGACCAATAGAAATGTCCCAAACTCCCTCAAATAAATTCATTTTTTCTTTCTTATAAAGTTAACAGCATTTGAGATGAGGTTTCCTTATGATAGTGATGTCTTATATCAGCAGTATGAACTAACGCAAAGGTAAATATGTTATTATACCATTCGATCCATGCATTCTGTCTCTAATAATAAAGGTTCCTAAATGGTTCTTAGCTTGGATGTACAGTTCTAGGGAAAACCTTGAATTGGTATAGAACCTTAACATTATGTGAAGGTCCTTTAAACTATGTTCATTTGCACATCTCTAAAGAATCATGTACTGAAAGGTTCCTTAGGAAAACCAAAGTGGTTCGTCAGTGACATCACTCCAAATAACTCCTTTTGGCCGGTATTAGCCATCTTGTTCATTTTAAGCTGTGCTCTCTTAGGGCCATAAAGGGTTCTTTGAGTGATGCTGTACAAGAACCACTTTTTTAATTTCCCTGAACCGTATTCCAAAAAGGGATATGAATATGTCAAGGAACTTTCTAGTAAAGGCTTAAAGGACCTTCACGTAATGTACAGTTTCTGTAAAGGTTCTACACCAATTTAAGGGTTTTTCATAGGACCTTCATGGAATGTGGAGGTTCCTTAAAGTTGTAATAAGGTTCTTCGCACTCATGTCTCATTTGAGTTTTTATTGACCCAAAATGGGTTCTTTCGTATCATGCAGGGAACCCTTTGCTTCTCCCATTCTCTTAAATATTTTTATTTATTTTTTTTTATATTTTAAGCTTTAGACACATTTTGTCTTCGCTTAAAGTTTTGGACACATTTCAATATTTTTCTTTACCATTCAATTGATGCATCCAGTCCACTCAACGGTTCCTAAATGGCCCTAGGAAAAACCTGTAATTGGTATAGAACCCTTAGGAACAAAGTGGTTTTTCTATGACATGTACACACACACACACACACACACACACACACACACACTATATATATATATATATATATATATATATATATAGAGAGAGAGAGAGAGAGAGAGAGAGAGAGAGATAGATATTAGGCGCATTTTATTTCAATTCAATTCATGCATTCTGTAAAAGCAAACGTTCTTAAATTGTTTGTATGGTTCTAGGAAAAGCCCGATATATAGAACATTAATAATTGTATATATGATCTTTAAGGTTTCTTTTAACTTCAAGCTGCTCTTTTACCAAAAAGGTTCTTTAAAGAAGCTTCCATTTGAAAGAAACCAAAACTGGTTCTTCTGTTGCATCGAGGAACCTTTTCTAGCACCTTTATTTTAAAATAAAGAGAAGAAAATCTTCAGAGTAGCTCTTCATTTCCTCCAGTTGCTGCTGGGCGGGGCTCGTTAGCTCACTCTCATCATTTGCTGTGTGTGAACTGACGCTGTTCTGAATGACCCCCACCTCTCTGGGAGAACATGAAATAGAAGCGGCCCGCCTGGGGTGAAACAGGGCGACATAAATCATGTGCCGACCAGGGCGCTGGCACCTGGAGGTCAGAGGCCACAAGGGGGTTTTTAGGCTGAGAAAGACCAGAGCCGCATCTCTGCTCAGCATGTGAGGTCATCAGGTCACAGAGTCAAAAGGTGAAAGGTGAAGCATTGCAGGGGAGCTGATAGTAAAAGCACTCTGAGCTCATCTGTACAGCGACATCATTTACATTAACTCACGCTGACCCTGATGATGGGGCAGCCCCGATCTGTCCAGAGGTGCAAATGATTCCACTCAACTCTGATTCTTCAGGAAACGATCCAGTGCCTTTCACATTTCACCATGATTCAGTTTGGTTCAGTTGCTTGGGTACAATTTGAATTATATTCTTAACATGTCACCACAGTTTGATTTGATTCTGTTACTTTGGTATGATTCAGAAATTAAATTGACCAAAAATGCACTATGATTCAATTTGGTTCACTTCAATTATTTTAGTATGTTTCAGAATTAAAGTAAACACAAATTCACTGATTTTCAATTGGATGTGATTAGACTGTTTTGGTGTGCTTCGCAAATAAATATGTAATTATTTCATGGAGATTCGATTTGATTAGATTATTTTGGTACAAAACACAAACTAAAAATAAAACATCTCATGACAATTCAATTCTGATTGATTCGATCATTTTGCCTAGGACTCTGAATTTGACTTAAAAAAATTTCAATGTGACTTGATTTGATTTAATTATTTTAATACAATTCACATATTAAAAAAAATCACAATGATTAAATTCAGTTCGATTCAATTATTTTGCTATGATTCAGAATCATGTTTAAAATATTTCACCACGATTTAATTAGATTATTGTGAAACAATTCACATTTTTTTGGTTTGATTCAAAAGCATGTTTAAAAATTTCAACATGATTTGATTTTGTTAGATTTCTTCAGTACAAATTTGTAATTTGGTAAGAAATGATTTTTTTTGTTTGAATTCTAGTTGATTCTGTTTGATTTTTTTCTAGGTGAGAGTGTGATTTAGAATTACATGTTAACAATTTGACTGATTTAATTGATTTGATTATTATTTGTTTTGTACAATTCACAAATTTATTTAAAAAAATCTAGTTTTTATTTGGTTCAATTTGAGTATTTGGGTACACTGTAAAAAGTGGCTGTCAGATCTGCTTACAAAAATGACTTCTTGTGGTAACAAGCAATTGATCTAGTTTTATTCAACTCAAAAAATACATTGAAAGAATCGTTCATTCAAAGTATTTATTTAGGTTGAATAAAATCCAAACCTAAAAAAAATATTACATTAAGTAATTTTTTGAAGTTGTTCTGACAAGCCACTTTGTACAGTGTAGGATTTAGAATTATTGATACAAATATATTGAATAAACACGTGACTAGAGTAATTATTTACACAGCAGTAGAATATAAACACGCTTTTTTATTTTTACTTTTCAAGACTGATTAAGTATAGTACAGCCAGAGAATCAATTGTAACACCCTCTGTTACACCCGTGTGAATATGATGTTAACATAACAGCTACTGAAAAGATGCTGTATCTGAAATGTCATGTCTTTTGGAACAACAGGAAGTTATTAAATGATAATATACAGTCATTTTCTATTTATTATAATTTCTTGTCAAGAGATTTGATCCCCACTTTTATCTCGCTCTGTAGGTTCATCAACGCCAGGAGAAGAATAGTCCAGCCGATGATCGATCAGTCCAATCGTGCCGGTAATCTGCTCAGTCATTATCTTTCTTCTTTAAAGTCTGCATTTCTTCCTGCTCAGACCCCCACTTATCTCTCCTGCACTCTCTGGCACTTCCACTAAGTGGTCCGAATCCAAACAGGAAAGTTACCTCACAGTTCTGAGGACCTGTTTTAAGTGATGGAAAATGAATCATTGGACCAAAGTGATACATTTCATCCTTCTGTTCTTCTATCTTCAAATCTATCTTGTTCTTTTCTTGCTACACTCTCTGGCTCTCTTGCTCTCTACCACTCTACCCCCTCAGCCTCCCTCTGTCACTCTCCCTCTGTCTCCCCATCTCTCGCTCTCTCTCTATCTCTCTTTCTCTCTGAGCTGTCAGAGGGAGCTGGTCTTTTTTCTGTTGAGCTGTAGTGAAGTTTATGGGCTGTGAGGGGGGACGTGGGGCGGTGAAGGTTTTGGCTGAGCTGGAGAGATGGAAGGAGGAGGGATGGAGGGGTGGAGGGATGGAGGGATGTGGAAGGGTAGTTCAAAGACATTTCTGAACTGTTGCCCTTACGCCAGTTAACCAGACACAGCTCACAAACCCCATATAGACTGTACTGTAATGTGTAATGGGGAGAGAGAGAGAGAGAAAGAATGCGGGAGAGAAAGAACTTCATTTATTTTATTTTTAACTACTACTATTGTATATATTTTATGTTCTTATAACTTCTGAATTGTCTTTATTCTCTTGGCTTTTCTGGGTCTGTTTCAATCTGCAGAGCCATTTGAATTATAATAGCAGTAACACTTTATTTTGAGCGTCCACTCTTGATACTTTGTTGTTGCTCACCTTGCTAACATTCAACTACACATGGATTAATTGCAGCTGTTAATTGAGTGTATTAGATTCTGTTAAATCTAAACTTAACCGTAACTTCAACTCAAAACTGAAACCTATTTCTACAGCTAACCCTAAATGTAGCCATAGTTCAACTCTAAACCTAAGCTTCATCCTAAATATAACCCTAACCATAACTTCTACCCAAAACCTAAGATTAAACCTAAATATAACCCTAACCATAACTTCAACCCAAAACCTAAGATTAAACCTAAATATTACCCTAACCATAACTTCAACCCAAAACCTAAGATTAATCCCAAATATAACCCTAAATATACCTTAAACCCAAAACCCAATCTTAATCCTAAATATAACCCTAACCATAAATTCAACCCAAAACCTAATCTTAATCTTACTCTTAACCTTAACTTCAAAACCTAAACGTCCAAAATCTAAAAATAATCCTAAATCTAATTCAAACCCGAATCTTAACTTCAACCCAAAACCTAAACTTAATCCTAAATAACGATAACCATAGCTTCAACCCAAAACCTAAGCTTAATCCTTAATATAACCCTAACCAGAGCTTCAACCCAAAACCTAAGCTTAATGCTGGACTTAACCCTAATCCTAGAAAACTGAGGGCATGTTGTAGAGCATCTGTAGATAATCTGTAGGAAAGTCTCAAAATAAAGTGTGACCATGATTATTTCTATGCAAGATGCTCTGCATTTACACCCATTTTAAAAATGATTTATTTATTGATTTACTGATTGATGCTGATCCTCTTCCTGTGCAGTCGGTCACAGCGGGCCATATCCTCCTGACGGTCAGTCGATGGGAGGTTACATGCTGGATGGACAGGCTCACATGGGCACCAGACCCCCAGGTTACAGCTTTAAACTCTCATTACACGTTTCAATACATGGTACTGTTTACATGTTGTAATGCATTTAATACAAAAGCTCAAATGTTCCTCATCAGCCAAGACCTGATTATCCTCCAGTCCTTCTTTAGTTTTTGCACGATGAGGCTAGACATGGGCAAAAGTACACTCTTTAAAAAAAAGACGGTTCTTTAAGAGTTCTTTAGTAAAGAAAATGGTTCTATATATACCCATGAACACTCAAAGAACACTGCGTGATTAAAGGGTTCTTTGCATCGTGAAAGGTTCTTCAGATTAATGGAGAAGGTGCTGTAGATGGTTTTATATAGAACCTTTGTGAAAATGGTTCTTCTATTGTTACGATGTCAAGCTTGTAACGATAGCAGAACCAATTTTGGTGCTATATAGAACCCTTTTCAAAAAGGTTTTATATTGAACCATCTACAGCACATTCTCCATCCATCTGAAGAATCCGTTCATGATGCAAAGGACACTTTAGTCATGCAAAGGTTCTTTAAGGCCTTCATGGTTCTATAAAGAACCATTTTCTATTTTCATTTACTAAAAAAACACTTGAAGAACCGTCTTTTTTACATCTACGGCATTCTTATCCAGATCAAGTTACAATTCAATCATATTTACACAGGTAGGCGAAGGCAGTGTTGGAAGTCTAGCCCAAGGACTCTTGTTGGTATAGTATAGGGTATTTGCCCAGGCAGAGGACTGAACCCCAGTCTACAGCATAGAAGGCCTAGGTGTCACTACACCAACCACCGTTTCTAAGTGTGTATACGCAACATTCAGGCTGCCAATACTGTTTTAGCTGTTCATGCTGTTATCCATTGTTACAATGACAGGATGTCGTAAAGTGTCAGAAACCACATAAGCCAGTCGGGATGCACCAGTGTGGGAATTGTGGGCCGAAGCCGAATTCTATTATTTTGCATGTACATATCTGCTGATGTCATATCTACTAAACATTCGTGCTCTTCCAGAGGACAATAAATACATCGAATATTGGTTTGCAATGTCGGCAAAATCTAATCATCTGTCGGGTGCTGATATTTTTTAAGCAATTATGTGCCGATACTGATATGATTTTGGTATCATTGTGCATCCTAACAAGGCAGTCCATATGATAGTCCTTAACAACTCGAGACAGACTGAGAAAGTGTACCCTGATTAGATATGCAGTTTGCACGATGGTAATTGGTGGAGTATAAGCTGCCTTTACATATTTAGATTTTATTTGTATAGATTAATTTTTAAGGAGCCTCACATATTAACTGTATGACAATGAAAGAAACAATATTGAAATGAATCTCTCTCCGTCTCTCTCTCTCTCACTCTCTCTCAGGATCACTGGCTGGGATGGGGATGGACACTCAGTGGCACTACATGTAACCTGTGAGGGTCCATTCAGCTACACCTACGCATGAGAGCGGTGAGCTCAACCTTTTTACTGTAAACAGATCTTGTTTATTTGAGTTTTTGAGGAAAAAAAACAAAACAATAAAGAAAAAGAGTGACACAGGCTGCAGAGACAAAGAGAATGAGTCATAAAAAGAGAGATAAAGACAGAAATAGTTAAAGAGAGAGAGAAAGAAAAAGAGGGGAGAGAGAAAGACAGAAATAGTTTAGAGAGAGAGAACAAGAGGAGAAAGAGGGAGAGAGAAAGGAGAAAGGGGAGAGAGAGTGAGAGAGAGAGAGAAAGGGGAGAAAGACAGAAATAGGTAAAGAGAGAGAGGGGTAAGAGAGAGTAAGAGAGAGAGAGAGAGAGAGAGAGACAGAAATAGTTAAAGAGAGAGAAAGAAAAAGAGAGGAGAGAGAGTGAGAGAGAAAGAGAGAAAGGGGAGAAAGACAGAAATAGTTAAAGAGAGAGAGAGAGAGAGAGAGAGAGAGAGAGAGGAGAGAGAGAGAGAGAAAGAGAGGAGAGAAAGACCGAAATAGTTAAAGAGAGAGAAAGAAAAAGAGGGGAGAGAGAAAGACAGAAAAAGTTTAGAGAGAGGGAGAGAGAGAGGAGAGAGAGAGTGAGAGAGAAAGAGAGAAAGGGGAGAAAGACAGAAATAGTTAAAAAGAGAGAGAGCGACAGAGATAAAAAAAGATGAAGGAGAGGAGTGAGAGAAGAAAGAGAGAGAAACAGAGAGAGCAAGACTCCTGCAGAGATACTAACGAGCTTTCTCTTTCTCTGTCTCTGCCTCTCTCTCTCTTTCTCCTCTCTCTATTTGTCTCTCTCTCTCTCTGCTTTCTACCTGTCTGTCTGTCTCTCTTCCCTCTGGGTCTCTTATCTCTCTGTCTATCTTTGAGTATTTCTCTTCTGTCTCTCTCGTTTTGTCTCTGCTGCTGTTTCTCTCTCTCTCTCTCTCTCCTCTCTTCTCTCTCTCTCTGATTGCACAGTCTCCAAAGTCTATTCAGACAATACATCTGTCATATCCCATAATGCTTCGCTGCTCTAACAGATGACCCTCCGCCTCACTGCATGCGGACCCCTGAGAGGAGGCCTTTTGACCTCTCTAATCTTGTCGTTTCTTTCTTTGTCTCTTTTGCTCTCCTGATTTGAGAACAGCTCAGTTACTCAGTTATGATTTCTCTTCACCTCACAGTCAACGACTGTTCAGTGTGAATAACGTTAAGAGTCACCAACAGTAAAATCATCCAGTCTGAATTTCCACTTACAGATATGAGCTCTTACATTGTACATCTGAGTGTATACACACACACACACACACGCGCGCGCACACACACACACACGCGCGCACACACACGATGACTAGTGTATTTAATTTACTTGAATTAAATGTACACATTATTTCCACATGAATAAAATCGATTATAAATACACAAAAGTATGCGAAAGTTCAAACTCCCCCAGTCAAAAGACGTTTTTGTTGGTTTTCTACGTAAAATTAAGTGAACACATCCTCTACAGAGAACACTCTTCTGCACATTTTAATACACAATTACTGTTTATTTGGTGAATTGTATATATTGAAAAACTAAAAAACAGAAAATATGGCCTGTGCAAAAGTTATGACACGTTTAATATGTTGTTTTATTTTTTTAACATGCCAAACTCAGAAAAATAAATAGAAATCAGGCAAAAAAAAAAATGGTTTAAAATGTCAGAAAGCATACTTCCGCTCATTTTAATGCACCATTTCTATTTATTTGCTGAGTTTAACACACAGAAAACAACACAAAATATAAAATGTGCCCTAACTTTTACACAATTACACATTTTTATGTTTTTTTTTCCCCTCAATATGTTAAATTCAGCAAATAAACAGTAGTTGTGCATTAAAATGTGCAGAAGAGTTTTCTCTGTAGAGGATGTGCTCACTTATTTTAGAAAGTCAACAAAAATGTCATTTGAATAGAGGTGCCCAAACTGGTGGTGACACTGACGTAGTGGTGGTGTGTGTTGTGCTGGTACGAGTGGATCAGACACAGCAGTGCTGCTGGAGTTTTTAAGCTACACTAAAAAGAACTTGTGTTTGGAGAGTATAGTACACTGTACTGTAAATTTGACCATTTTTTCTTGTGTTTTGTTTCCTGAGTGACAGATTATACACTTGTAGGCATTTGTGGTCAAATTACATGTTTTGTTGATTTTTTTTAAGTTAAAACACCCCCAGTGATGTTTTGTTGGTTTTCAAGTGAACACATCCTCTACAGAGAACACTCTTCTGCACATTTTAACACAAAGTTACTGTTTACTTGCTGAATTTTATATATTGAAAAAAATAAAAACAGATAATGTGCCCCGTGTTTTATGTTTTTCCAATATGCAAAACTCAGCAAAATAAATAGAAACTGTGCAATACAATTGGCTAAAATTCTATATTTAAGATTTTCCCTGTAAAGCAACACAGAAAACCAACAATACAACAGGACTATATGAGGCCAAGGCACTAAATCCTCATTCCTTGCCTGTTTTTCTTTTTCCTGCAGTATCGTAGATGGCATATCATCGACACCAGAAATCCCAGAAACCCAAATGAATTACCTCTCTGTGGCTTATGGAGCGCTGCTGCCTCACTGCTACAGCAACACAGAGACTGCTATGCTTCAGCTGACCATTAAAGCCTTCACATTCAAAACAGCCACCTCAGCTGGAGTCTGGTGTGGAACGGGAGATCAACTACACTATCTGTCCAAAAAGTATCCAGACATCCCTTCTAATTAGTGAACTCGGCTACTAAAGGTGCACCCATTGCTGACACGGGTGTTCAATTGCGCGGACACAGCTTGTGTCATCTCCATAGAAAAGCACTGACCATAGAATGGGACACTCTGAAACAGCTGCAGGTGAGTCACCATGCCCAATGCCAAGCTTCAGCTACAGGCATATAAGCTCCCCAGCATTGGGCTGTGCAGCAGTGGAACAGTTCTCTGAAGTGATGGAGCTCCTATCAATACCTTTGGGATGAGCTGGAGTGATCCAGAACTATTAATCCAGCATCAGTACCTGACCTCACTAATGCTCTTGTGGCTGAATGCAATCAAATCCTCACAGCAATGTTTCAACATCTAGTTTAAAGC